GGCAGGACAATGAGGAATAGTATTCTATATATGTCCACCAAGTTTCATCAAAACCCGATCGTTTTTGAATGAGTTATAGAGCAAACATAGCGTGAAAAATTAGTCCCATTGTTAACAAATAGGGATTTTTTTATGTTCTTTACCTTGATATTTGACCTTGACCCTAAAAAAAATAATGACTACTAAGTTGGGTCATAGTCCAAATCCATTCAGCCGTTTCCGAAAAATCCTGCTTTACACATACACACAAACAAACAAACACACGTTATAGTACTGCTAATACTAATGGTAGAATATACGAAAACACAATGAATCACTTTATAGTACTGCTAAAAGTTATTCTAACGATGAAACACAGTATGACTACTACTACAGTAATGAGCATGATTATTCTGAAGACGAAACATAATAGTAAGTATGACTACTACTGAGAACATAAAATATATAATTTTTAATATTTTATTTTACCAAGTACTTTTGTGTAACTTTTTGTTGTAAATCACGCCTTTGAAATCAATATATATATGTGTGTAGAAATTTTTGGTTAACTGGTTGATATTTTACAACATTTTGCCCGCAATTATATTACATACATTTTTGTGTATTATGAATATTTTTTTTCTTATCTAGAGGGCGTTCAGCGCTGATGGACCTAACAAGGAACAGGTAACAGTCAAAAGTACTTCGTCTCTTGGCTAATCGCTCGTCGAGAAAAGTTGCATATGTTTATTTTCAACCCCCGTTTACTAAAAGTATCAGAAAATAAAAAGAAAATTTAAGATGGCGCTCTTCTTCTCAATATAAAGTCACCGGTTTATTTTCAGAACATGAGGTTTGATATATTTTATTTTACAATATGAACGAAACATCAAGTGAAATCGTCGAGTGCAAGAATAAAATTCGTTATTTTTTCACACTCGTGTAGTCATAAAAAAAAAACAGGCCTAATTTACGTGGGCAGCAAGTTTCTTGAAAGAATGAGGAGTAACCTTATAAATTTTCAGAAATTGGCAAAGTTTGATTTAGGAAATCTCGAGGAGTATAAAATGGTAGTACCGTTCTTGATAAGTACAATTTTATTAGCGTTTGAAAAAAAATAAACCATTTTTGAAGTTAATTGCCACCGTTTTAAAGCACAACTTATATGACGATAATGTCTCAGTTGCACTATGAGAAAGTTTGTCTGTGAGATTTATAATACATTGGTCGATGTTATTCGTACTGTGTTTATATATTCTACAAAATACTGTAGACACATCTTTATCATACAACTTTGATATTCCAAGACAAAATACAGCTTAAGTAGTAAGTCTCAAGTTTAACGTTATTTCTACAACGAATGATATTCTGCCTCACTGAAGTAACTTCTTCTATACATTAGCTTTAGATGGCTTAGCATAGAAAACATAACCTAGTTAGTTTATATAGGTCAATTTAACGTAACTCAAACTAATTACGATACATAACTGTTCCCTTAAACATTTATATATGACATGATCATTAGTTTGATATCAAGTTATGGTAAATATCTACGATATATATTTCATGGTTGGATTTTAGGCTACTGCTTCAAACTACAATTAAAACATATACATTCAAAATGTCAGAGAATTAAAAAAAAAAATTAACACTGTATATTCTACATTAAATTTAAAGACTAATCATTTAATAAGTCTAGAAATAAACAGTAGTACGTTTTGAATGTAAGAAATTAATGTAATTGGTTATATGAGATAAATTATTAGTCTTTCTGTTTTATCAATTTGCAATTAAAATAACAATTATCTTTGTCGGTACATACTTGCAATATGATGAATATTTTCTTTGTTTAATAGAATATTTCGAAAGAATAAGTCTCACTTTATCAGGAAAACGTTAGGCTTTTGCAAAATGCATGTCTCAACACCAACTTTGATCTTTTAGTTTGTTAAGAAAAGTTTAAAATATTTGTCTCAACACCAACTTTGATCTTTTGGTTTGTTAAGAAAAATTTTAAATATTTGTTTCAACACTAACTTTGATCTTTTGGTTTGTTAAGAAAAGTTTAAAATATTTATCTCAACACCAACTTTGATCTTTGGGTCGGCTGTGTAAAATTTGAAATATCTATCTGAATATCATCTGGAAAACTTGGATCTGCCGAGGAAAATCTAAAATATCTATCTAAGTATTATTTGTTTTACAACATTTCGTTACATTAATAACTATTTCAACATCAAAGTAGAATATACTCGGATACCCAGTTTTAAGATGAAGTCGTAATAATAATAATACAGCCATTTGTGGTTATGTACATACTTTTAAAGTACGTATTAGTAACTAGGCATATTTTTACATTCAAAAACTGAGCTAGTTATGCTCTTAACTAACGATGCAGAAATTAAATATCTTATCAAAAGTTTGTCGTTTTCTTTACATGTTTTCGAACTGTCTTTACAGTTTCTCCCTGTTTAAGTAATTTTGAAAAAGGCTTAACCAAGTTCTTTTTTTCTTCTATCAGATAAAACCTGGTGGATTTGGACCTGTTGGACCTCTAAGATCTGTTGGTCTACCCGAGTTTGATAGCCAAAAGTCAGGTGGACGGGTGGGTAAAAGAAGTTCATACCATTGAATTACAAATTATGCGGACAACATATTCTGTTTTGTATTTTTTCTATCTGACAATTGAAAAATGTCCCACATCTTCTACTTTTACTGTTTGTAATAAAAAAGCAGTTGTAATTACTCAGTAACACTATAAAGTTGTTTCATGTCGAAGTTGACTTTTAAGCTGTTTTCTCATTCTAGATTCGATCATCTTATTAATATGAACTAGGAAATAAAAAGGTCTATGGTTATCAAGTCTAGCCTAAACTTTTGAGGTCGTGGTTATCAAGTCTAGCCTAAACTCTTGAGGTCGTGGTTATCAAGTCTAGCCTAAACTCTTGAGGTCTGTGGTTATCAAGTCTAGCCTAAACTCTTGAAGTCGTGGTTATCAAGTCTAGCCTAAATTCTTGAAGTCTGTGGTTATCAAGTCTAGCCTAAACTCTTGAGGTCTGTTGTTATCAAGTCTAGCCTAAACTCTTGAGGTCGTGGTTATCAAGTCTAGCCTAAACTCTTGAGGTCGAAAGTCCTATAGTAATAGTGTACAGACTATCCACTACGTGGCGCTTTACACCAAGTTGGGAATTTGACGTTACATTTTCAGCTCTTCATAACAGCTGGCATTTACACTGTAATATGTATATTTGGATTTTGTCACAAGGTTAAGAAAATATTCTTACGTTAAAAGCTAGTTTCTTCTGAACATAAAATTTCTTATAAAACAGAACACACGGAAAGTTCGTTCTTTTGTTTTACTGAGATAAATTGGCAGTGATGCAATTTATGTAAACTGGACTGTAAAAGTTTCTGTTGCTGACTAATGAAATATATCTTTTTTCTTTCACAAGCGAAGGAGTTTTGTAAAATGTCTGTACACGACTCTCTGGCTGTCATAACTTAACATGTGTTCCCTACATTTTCTTGTTCATTACACGATATAGGTTGAAATTATACATCGATTAATAATGGCTGGAGACGGCTTGAATGGGTAATGAAGAAAAACTTTAATATAACAGCAAATGTACAACGTTTCGACAAGGTTTTGTCATCAATCGAATTTGAATACATCGTTTGTTTATGCAAGTATTCTGAACCAATGAGAAACCTTAGCTTCCTTGGCCGACATCAGCTCGTGGTAATTCAGTTTAAACTACAACTAAAAGTTGCATTAACTTCAAAGCCCGCAACTGGTTATTATGTAAACGCTATAAAACAACCTAAATGGTGAGAGTATTTACTTTAAACATTGACTACAGATTTCAGATTAACTAACTCTGTTTCCGTATCTAGTGGCATTATAACTCCTGATTACGAGGTTTATGTAAGACACGTTCACGGGCCTGAAATGGAGAGCGCCTTTTTTTTATTCTTATGTTTATTGCGACAACGAGTCCTGAACCGTGAATCATCGGATTCACAGTCCGGGCAAGCTAACTACCTGGCCACGCCTGGCGTGCTAATGGGTGTAAAGGAGCCAACTATACGTCATTCAAAACTAGTCTTTGTACGTCGTTGAACACAAAGCTATATAATGGGCTATCTGTGCCGTGCCCACCAAGGGAATCGAAACCCAGTTTTTTTATCGTTACAAGCCTTCAGACCTGCTGGGGAAATGGATGAAACTAAAGTCAACTGAAATTCTATATGAAAAACTTGGACAAAGACGAAGCTTAAACTGATGAATCATTGATTATTTTAGAGAATTCTAGTTTGAGTCATACTCTTCAGCTTACAGAAGGAAGCTTGGAGTAGTATTTATTTGTATAACTCCAGCATTCTTTGAGTGAGAAGGTCTGTCGTTTTTTATAAATCTCACAAACATTAGGTTACACGTTACGCACATGAACCATCAGTGGGAGGAGGGGCTTTGTAATTTGTGATTCTTTGTAGAATACATAAAAAAGTAAAGAAATATAAACGATATTAAATAATATGAATTGTTTCGATGGGGATCTGTGGTTCGAGACTACAAATTTCAGCAAAGATACAATATAGAATTCAGAAAAGATGCAATATAGAATATAGAAAAGATGCAATATAGAATACAGAAAAGATGCAATATAGAATACAGAAAAGATGCAATATAGAATTCAGAAAAGATGCAATATAGAATATAGAAAAGATGCAATATAGAATACAGTAAAGATGCAATATAGAATACAGAAAAGATACAATATAGAATACAGAAAAGATGCAATATAGAATACAGCAAAGATACAATATAGAATACAGAAAAGATAAATATAGAATACAGAAAAGATGCAATATAGAATACAGTAAAGATGCAATATAGAATACAGAAAATATACGATACAGAATACAGAAAAGATACAATATAGAATATGATCATGATTCAGATATAAGATGAAATGTTCCAGAAAGTGTACATGGTTTAGGTATAATATATCGCTAGGGGGTTTGTGATTTGAAAAACTCTTACACGTTACAATAAAGGTCCGAGGTTTATGATACGTATATTAGAGGGCATATTTTCAATTAAGGTTTCAAGTATTCAAATATTAGTTTCAATCACATAGATTTTAACATTTAGATAAATTTTAGGGTGACAAAGAAAACCAAGGACTTAAAAAGCAACGTTGAATGAAATAAACATACCTATTTAATCTATTGAAGGCCCATCAACACGCTTTAGGTTATCTAAACCTACAGAAGGTTAATACTAGCTTGATTTCAATACAATTTATTAGACCGCCGGCCGGGACAGTAGGTTAATGCGAATTGGGCCTTCAAACCTACTTATTAGACTGTCTGGGCAGAAAGTTAATGCTAATTAGGCTTTGAAACCGACTCATTAGACTATTTGGACAGAAGGTTAATACTAATTAGGCTTTTGAACCAACTTATTAGACCATTTGGACAGAAGGTTAATTCTAATTAGGCTTTTGAACCAACTTATTAGACCATTTGGACAGAAGGTTAATACTAATTAGGCTTTTGAACCAACTTATTAGACCATTTGAACAGAAGGTTAATACTAATTAGGCTTTTGAACCAACTTATTAGACCATTTGGACAGAAGGTTAATACTAATTAGGCTTTTGAACCAACTTATTAGACCATTTGGACAGAAGGTTAATACTAATTAGGCTTTTGAACCAACTTATTAGACCATTTGGACAGAAGGTTAATATTAATTAGGCTTTTGAACCAACTTATTAGACCATTTGGACAGAAGGTTAATACTAATTAGGCTTTTGAACCAACTTATTAGACCATTTGGACAGAAGGTTAATACTAATTAGGCTTTTGAACCAACTTATTAGACCGCAATAGTCAACCCAATTTTAAATTATCACAGATTTCACCGTTGAGCGAAAAAAAACATGTCACTCCTTGTCAAGTAGAGTTCAATCCAATGACGATATTATACATATTAATTCTTATGTCAACATGATCTAATCCTATGTCACATTACAACAAGTAATACAGTGCCTCATTTCATAAGATAATGATAAACATGTACTTCAATGGAAGACTTTCCATACGTGGATATTTAATCTCGTAATACTTATTTTTGACAAGTTTAGTACGTCATGCTCTTCTGAACTATTATGGACTAGATCTTCATTTTCTCGCTACACATCAGGATCAAAATGTCAATGCTAGCAAGGTAAATATTGTTCACATTTTTGAACATGGTCATGGACCAATGACCCCTTCTCATTGGTTGTCTTCTAGGGAAATCTTGGTCTCTCAAGGTCCCGAGGGGAAATGAAAATCAAAGGGATAATGGATAGAAGAGGCAAAAAGGTCAGGATTTCTTACGTTTTCAAGAATTAAACAAAAAATTAAATAATGCGTGATGGAATGAATCATGTTTGTTATTGTTGTGTAAATTACTATCACAGGACACCAGAGTAAATTCCATTACTTCTTTCATGTTGGGAAAATGAGTTATATTCTATATATATTGATTAAATAGGTTGAAATAAGTATTTCAATACTGCAGAATACAAACAAACAGATCACTTAGTGATATTGGGTATAGTAAGGCTGCATTCAGAGGGAATATGTTAAAACACTTTTATAAAAAATAATTAACTGAAGCTGTTTAAAATCTCTCGATCTGTAGATAAAGCTCAAAGGGCTATCTATGCTCTGCCCACCATAAGTCCGCAAACATACCGCTGTGCCACTGGGGGGGGGGGGGTAATATAAATGTCACACCGTTTTTATTCTTATGTACAGAATGATAAAATAAAGGACTGGGTTGTATCTAAAGTATTGTTTGCTTCAATTGATGATTTATCCAATGAGAACGTGTCAAATATTTGGCTTGTTCGACGTGTAAGTGTACAATGAGCAACAGTAAAGGAGTTTAACTTGTGTAAAGAAAATGTGAAATATTAGGAGATTAGCTTTTATAATAAATAATTATGAGACATTTGGCCTCAACAACGAGTACGCGAGAAGGATTTAGTTTATACAGTTAATAAATGTTAAATCAAACATTTATCTCGTCTGATGAACACAAATGGCAAGGATTTAGGTTGTACAGTTAAAAACTCATTAAGTGATTTGACCTGTTCAACAAACGAACGTCGAGGGTTTAGTTTATACAATTAAAAAATGTCCAATCAGAGATTAAGCTTCTAGTTTATACAATTAAGAAATGTCCAATCAGAGATTAAACTTCTAGTTTATGCAATTAAGAAATGTCCAATCAGAGATTAAACTTCTAGTTTATGCAATTAAGAAATGTCCAATCAGAGATTAAGCTTCTAGTTTATACAATTAAGAAATGTCCAATCAGAGATTAAGGTTCTAGTTTATACAATTAACAAATGTCCAATCAGAGATTAAGCTTCTAATTTTAACAAATATTTTAGCTTATGATGAAACGTATCTAAGATTTATCTTGTACGAGGATGGATATATTTGGAACATAGTAACAGGATGATATTTATATTTTACGAATACTTTATCACACTGTCTTTTATTCGATTTGCTTATCGAATAGTAGCTTGATGAGAAGTAATCTGAATGTGTTACTCGGTCAAATTATTGATTAATTTCTATATTTCATACTACTGGTTTCGGGGTTTGTGATTTTTTTCTTGTTTTCTCTACACGTCCTATAAGATGCATCAGCAGAACCGTACATTCAGGTACAAACTTTCAAAAATAAAACTCAATGAATAAATTCTTTATTCCTGCCGATATCCCTCTCATTAACATCTACACTTTGGAATAGCATAATCTCAGCTAGTAAGGAGCTTTTCCTACTACATTTGCATGTAAATTCAATGGTATACAAGTCAGTAATAACTACGAACAGCCGGTTGGAGTCAAGATAAATTGGAAATGTGAATATACCACCGGAAATTGATTGCTTTGGAAAAGATATGTAACACCTCTTTCAGACGCAAGATATTCATATACTTTGATAGCCAAATATTTCTTCAGGTTGGGGATTTATAATTTCAAAGACAGGGATATCTCTTTTACTTAATTATATTAGAAAACAAAGGAATGTGGATCAATTTGGTAACAGAGGACCATCCAAAAAGAGACTTACAACAAGTCGTACCCCAGCTGTGGTAAGCAAAATGTAACGTCGTTTACCAACAAAAACCGTCCACAAACACACGGGTCAATTGAAAAAGCCGTCCACACACTCAGAAAAGATTTCTGTCTGGAATAGTGACACAAGTAATTTATACATACGCTGCTTCCACTACGTAGCCGTTCAACTGTTACATAATTCAAACAACTTGAGAATAAAAAGAGTATTCAAGTTACCAGACGCAGCGTCTATGAATTTCTGTGCGATCAGACTGTTGAAATGGGCACTGGAAAACCGTCGTCCTCGTACACTAATTGGATAACGGAAGGCAAACAGGAAGCCATGGTGTGTTTTTGGCGTGACAGCCTTATCCAATGGAAACTGTGCTACAGGGCTATAGTAGAAATGCACTGCAGTCAAATATTGCATGACCGAACGTAGCGACACAGATTGTCACGACGTGGTAAGACTCGAAAATATTTTTTTTAACGAATTCAACCTCTTGATTATAACTGACATTAGTCCCAAGAATAAATATAATAATATAAATATAAATATAAATTGACGAAGCATAATACAACAGATGACAGTTAGAAATATTGGGAGTATTTACAAAATACTACAGATAGTCTTCAAAAAGATGACAAGAAAAAATATTGTGAATATTGATAAAATATCCTAGATGTTCTTGAAACAAATTACAGGACGAAAATATTGGAATATTGACAAAATATTCCTGAAGCAGCTAATTAGCAAAACAGAAATTTCTAGTTATTCTTGAAACAAGTGAAAGACAGAAATATTCGGAATATTGAGAAAATATTTTAGACGTTCTTGCAACTGGTGAAAGGTATAAATATTGAGTGAATCCTGACGTAATAATTATTTAGAGATAATGGAATCACGTGTTCAACAGTATCCTGACGTAATAATTATCTAGGGATATTGGAACCACGTGCTCTACAATCGCTTGAGGTAATAGTTGGCTAGAAATATTGGAACCACGTGCTCTACAATCTCTTGAGGTAATAGTTGTCTAGAAATATTGAAACCACGTGCTCTACAGGTTCATGAAGTATTAGTTATTTAGGAATACTGGAATTACGTGCTCTAAAGGCTCGTGAAGTATTAATTGTCTAGAAATACTGGAATCACGTGCTCTAAAGGCTCATGAAGTATTAATTGTCTAGAAATATTGAAATCACGTGCTCTACTCTCTGGTAGCTTAATTAATGGTTATCTAGAAATATTAGGATCACAGAGGACGCAACTTGTTTAAAGTATGATTCAAAATGTGATTGAGATATATTCATCTAAAAGCACACACTGTATGGCTGCACACTAATGAAATTTAAACGTAAGGTGGAGACAATTCCTCGGTATTGGAAAATATGTCACTCTTCTCCATCTGAGTTGCCATTAAGTGATCACACACACATATATACTATAATCTCCGGACTTAAGGATTCTTAATATTGACATTCCATGCTCTATAGTGTCCGAGATGTAAAAACTGAGTGAGTTAATGTCAGACTTGCTCAAGTAGGTCGTGTACAAAGTTTGAAATAATGAATAAACTAAGTAACTGAATGATTAAAACATTTTAGAGTTTCGGGTATTAAATAATTTTGGGTTATTACAGTTTCGAGTATTAAATAATTTTGGGTTATTAGAGTTTCGGGTATTAAATAATTTTGGGTTATTACAGTTTCGGGTATTAAATAATTTTGGGTTATTACAGTTTCGGGTATTAAATAATTTTGGGTTATTATAGATCAGAACGAAGAACGTGCCCTGTAATTAACACAGACAATCAAATATACTATTCAAATTATTTTAATTAATAATGAATAGAATGTATTATTTTATCTGTTAGGTACCCTCGCTTAATGTTTGTTTGTAGTTAAGCACAAAGCTACACAATGGGTTCTGCCCACCACGGGTATCGAAACCCGGTTTCTAGCGTTGTAAGTCCGCAGACATGCCGCTGTGCCACCGGAGGGCGGCACCCTCGCTGTGAACAATATTTTCGGCCATGAACTCAATAACATCTCACGATGTTCGGCCAGCCACGGAAGACTTAAGATTGTTCTAAATCCATATAATAAGTTAATAACCACTATAATAAAATGAAAACTAGCACAATGTAGAGTAATCATTATAATAAGGTAATAAACATAAAAATAAAATTGACTTTTGAAATTGACTGTATAATTTCATATATTCATACAGTTTATACAACGAAATATAATTAGGTCCACTGAAAAATAAGCCAGAAATGTTGTACAAAAGTTAAATAACAAGAAAAAACTTACACCTTCATTGGATTAAATTAAAGAAAATGAACAATATAATTGATGTGTTACCATGAATTGATGATATAAATGACTGATGGAAACTATCAAACAAAATCACGTTTAAAACTTTTCTGAAGTTTTAGTGTTTTCTCTGTAGAAACTTGTATTGACTAGCATTATAAAGTAAACGTATTTTGTAAGTATACATTAAAGCATAGTAGCACCGATCATTGAACAGAAATAACCCAAAATTATTTAATACCCGAAACTCTAATAACCCCAAAATTATTTAATACTCGAAACTGTTTAGGTAGCTTGATTTGATCCGAAATTAATATTAATAGAACAAACTTAAAAACAAACAAGTGTAATGTGAAACATTTTTATATTATTCCATAATACAGTCGCCCTTTCAGCCGTGGGGGCGTTATAATGTGACGGTCAATCCCACTATTCGTTGGTAAAAGATTAGAGTTGGCGGTTGGTGGTGATGACTAGCTGCCTTCCCTCTAGTCTTACACTGCTAAATTAGGGACGGCTAGCACAGATAGCCCTCGTGTAGCTTTGCGCGAAATTCAAAAACAAACAAACCATAATAGAATGTTATATTAAAATAATTTTGGAGTCCCACTATGTCGTTACAGTCCATTTTTTGTGTCCACTCATGCTCTGTTTACGACTGTGCATTTTGACAATACTCCCGAACCACAGTTTCCTTTGCAAAAGCCTCTGTCGTAATCCTGCTTGCTTTTTACAAGACATCTAGTATACGAGAACAACAGTTTCCTAGCGCCCGTTTCAACAGTCCAATTGTAGAGAAATTCATGGGCACTGCGTCCAGCAACTTGATCAGTATGTCTTTGTATGGCATAGCATGATCACCCGCTTAATCTTTCAATTGCTTGAGGTATGCAAGGGTTGAATAAACATGTACATGTGGCTTTTGTTGCTTTTCCAGACGGAGATTCTTTTTGATTGTGTTGCATACTTTTGGTTAGGTCAAGTGGACGGCTTTTGTCACTGACCTGTGTGTTCGGGTACGACTTGTTGCAGGTCTCTCTCTCTGGATGGACCTAGTGATCCAAGTTGATCCATATTTCTTTGTTTTACAATACCATTAAGTTCAAGGAATATCCACATCTTGAAAATCCTAAGTTACCGATCTGAGTGTATGAATATTGTGTGTCTGAAAGGGCTGTTACAAATCCTTCCCAAAAGCGATCAATTTTCGGTGGCATTACACTATCTACGAAACGCTAAATAATGTCATAAAGTAGTTCTGAAAGATGCCGTTCAACCGCGACTTTATACCGACTGTAATTGTCACGTGACTCGATTTACATAATAAAAAAAACATTTTGTCATAACGTACCCAACTCTTTGTATAAGTAAAATGATATATGTATTTTTGAAAAATTAGCAAAAACGAGACCGACACAGAAAACTTCCTGGTCGTAGTCATCCAGTGTCAGGATCAAAAGGGGATGTACCATCGCCTGAAGACGAGAAGCTATTCGAATTTCTAGTCGGAGGGTAAGTAATAAAAAAAAATAATAAATTTTCGCAATTTTCATTGAATTTGAAAAGTAAGATTAGGAATGAAACATAAATAACTCACACTTCGTGGTTAATTTATTGTGTGCTAAAGACGGTAGGAATTGACACCAGCAAAACAAAAATATATATGTAACCTCATATCACGAAACCTGAAGTAAACAGGATAAATAACCGCATCATTAGGTTGTTCCAATTCTAACCAAAAATTACAGACAAACCTGCAGCGTGAGGATATGCAACTTATATAGGACATCAACACGTTCTGACAGTGTTGTATAAAAATAGTAAAATCGTAATGTGTACAGTATCAGGCTGTGCAGACTAAAATATACGATTTTTTTTATCTCTTTCAGTGACGTGAAGCACAATAAAGGTGACACAAAATGGAGTCTCAGTTTCGGCGTTTTTTATTTCTTTAAAAACAGACTACTTCACCACCTCCAGCTTAAAATAAAAAGTAATATCATGATCATCAGTAAAACGTAATCAACCAAAAAAATAATCAGCCCTAAAATATCATGATCATCAGTAAAACGTAATTAACCAAAAAAAAATACAGCCCTAAAATATCATGATCATCAGTAAAACGTAATCAACCAAAAAAAGTTGTTGTTGTTGATTACATTTTACTGATGACTGTAATATTTTAGGGTCTGGTTTCTTTTTTTGGTTTGTATTACGTTTTACTGATGATCATGATATTTTAGGGCTGTAAAACCGTTACAGTCATCTTCATGTTCTAGACGAAGATCGTAGACTTCTCCTGAAGATGTAAAAATCGACGAAATTTATGTAATAATTTATTTTTTTCGTTGATTTCTTTGTATCGGAAAACTCCATTATTATCTTTGTCTATTGTTCTTACGAACTTGTTATACCCTAAACTGCAAATAAAGAACTGGATTAATATCTAATGTAACTATCACGACAAGAAATAATTATTATTTATAGATTTTGTAAAATTTGAAGAAATCGTAAACTGACGTGATTTTGGTGTCGTTTATATTTGTATTATGGTTGTAAAATAGATATAAACTAGATAACGAAATATAAACGTATAAATATATAAATACAATTACCTCAAAAATATCCTCTAATATATATTGTTACGTCTCCGTTTGTTAATTAACTTTCCGTAACTTCGACGAAACTTTAGCGACACTAGTCCTTACTTAAT